GGCGAGGGGGGAGGGGAGGGGGAAGATATTGACTTTCCTTTTTCGGCCACGGCTTCGTAGTTCATGCATTGAACTTCGTGGTCTCTTCTACCTTCATGGTGCGAAGGTGGAGGATTCCCCGGCGGTAGCGGGGGGAGGGGCACGGGAAGGCAGGGGGTATTTGACCTTGGTTGCATATCTTCGTTATCTTCGCTACGGCGGTGCTATACGTGCATGAGTGCGTCTCTTGAAAAACGTGGGGGGGGCAGCAGCAGGCATCTTTCATGCAGCGTACGGTGGGGGTACCGGTTGTCGGGCAAGGAGGCCCGCAAGTCGTCGTGCAGCACCACGTTCACCACCATTACGTCCACCACCAGCACCACCTCTCCGTGCTCCAAAGCCCCGGCGTTTGAATGTTGGTGTGTGGCTCTCCGGGACGGAGATATCGATGGTGGTGGTCGTAGACTGAGATATGCTGTTGGTTCGATTCATTGCTGATCTTTTCAGTCCAGCTCACACGTTGTGTTGTAGTTATCGTGTGCCGTGGGTGTTTCAGAAGATAGGTCTTACAAATCGAAAGTTTACGTTTTTGCCCGAGAACGAGGCTTTTGCGTCTCCCGACGATGGTCTGTATCGTCAGGGTGGTGGGAGCGGGCGTCGATTGCAGTCCGATGCCACGTGGTACTGACTACGTCCCGCTCAATTCGAACAACGTGTGTTTGTTGTTTTCGTGCGGTGGTGTTCCTTGGCGACGTTGTGGTTCGATCGATTGGATGGTAGACCGGTGGTGACATTACGTCAAATCACAAGCAGCAGTGAATTCTATCGTTTTCGGAAGAGCATGTCGCCTTGAGGATGTGCGCTGTCTGAGGCCCTCGGAACTTGTCATGACAAAGAGCAAGCAGCACATGATCGCGTGGAGTTTTTTTTTTTTATGGAGTTTTTCTCTTCGCTGTTTCTGTGCACGAAGTGTCTAACCACAATGGCCTGCACGAGGACACAGGCCTCCTACCCTCTTTAGAAGTAGAGAGAACCCAGGTCTTGGTGGTATCCACTCGCTTCCCCGGGGTAGGTATCTTCTTTCATGATACTTGACGGAGGGCAAGGTCTCGGAAGAAAGGGAAGAAGACACATGCTACAAAGCGAAAAACAGTTTCTGTGGTGGGGCCTCTGAACACGCGGGTACGGTTGCACACGAAGCGCGGATGAAAATTCTTCTAATCTCGGATCACAAATGACGTCAAATGACCGAGTGAAATTATTTCTAAAACTTAGACCAAATGACGTCACATGAACAGGTGAAAATACAACACCTCGATGGCCTCCAATTCTGCAGTTGAGCCCATGGTCGGGAAGCCCCTTTTGCACATTCCCAGTTTGATCCCTACCGCAAGCCTCCCGTTGTGTTCGGAGCAGCCGGCATTCGGATCCCTGCCGTGGTACCACATATATAGCCCCTCCGATAGGACTTGACGCAAGGCGGGAAGGCTGTATCGGGTTTCGTGCAAAGGTGCTCTCCCACATTGACCTCGCGGCTGACACACATCGTCTTCTCTGCTGATCGCTGTGCATCCAGGTGGGTAATTTCTACGTGTTCCGTAACATGTCCACACCACTGCTCCACACGGAGAGACCAACTGCCACTCGCTGCTGCTGCTGACCTTCATGACGGGTGCTCTACAACGTGATTACGACATGGTTGCGACAAGATATCTCTGCAAACCGCTCTGAGGAACACCAGGGAAGTTGACAACAACCGCCACATTGGATGTATATCATTTGAAAACTTTCCGTGCTCTACTGATGTTGTTTACCAACACCAAACATAACACCAAACATAACAAGAAACAAACTAACATGATACAAACTGAATCTATGCCCTACCTACCATGCACCAGGTGCACCATTCTCATCTAGTGTAAGCATCACTGATACGTTACCCCAAAGGATCAAATACGTTTTGAAAAAGCTGCCCGTGAAATTAAAAAATCTGTAGATTTGAAAAACGAGTGATGTACTGCTGTAGCCTTCGTTCCATCTTCCATGATTACAATATTATTCCTAATATCTAACAAACCAGCAAGAGCTGCCAATAGACACTGCACCGTGTCCCCTGTGAAGGTTACATTTTGCAATACACGACATAACGGAGGGATTCTCCCCGATATTTTGTCGTTGACCCAGTAGAGAACTACAGGGGATGTGTTGTAAACTGTAAGTTGCCTATACAGACAGATGTTTTTGTACTTAGCACCAGCTGGCATCACTGATATAAATCAGCAGTGTATAGACTTAAAAAGACTCGAAATAAGTCCAGTACCCAGCCGGTTTTCCTCCACTCACTGAAAAGACTTCACCACATCCCGTTCGACTGTGGGTATATCTCGAATGGGTAGTCTTTCTGTGCGTGTATTTAGTTTTCCTTAATCACCCCTGTGTGCTTTCTGGACGAGAAACATGAAATAAATGGTGGTTTTGCACAGCGGTTTCAACACCTCAGAACACGCTCTTTTCGTCACCACGCCCGCTCGTGGAAACGCGGTTTCCTTGCTGGATGCGCCCACCAGTGCATACAATAAATCATCCCAACAACGTGGTGTTTCGAAACAGATGCGACAACGAATGCGGTTGAATTGCGTTTATTTGCGTCATGGGGATCCGGCAAATAACGAAAAGGAAGCGATCGTGTCTTCAGCACATACATCAAGGGGAAGGACGAGGTTGCTGGAGTTATCAGCAACTGCGAGAGTAGGACAGCGCACGTAGCAGAGAGGGAGGGAAGCGACGGTTTTTGCTCCGAATTGAGAGCGATGGGTACCAGGTACAGCAGTACATTTGCCGGGTGGAACCCTCTGCGTTGGGTTTGATCGATGCTATAGCCGAAAGTGGGACTGCATGTACCGAGTCTCTGGGTGGACCAAAACGAGTCTCTCTCTCTCTCTCTCTCTCTCTCTCTCTCTCTCTCTCTCTCTCTCTCTCACACACACACACACACACACCCTCCCTCTGCGTGTGTGACCTTCTGTTCGAGCTCTGGTCCTGTGGAATGCCAGCATGACACAACGGCCCTGCTTCATTGTTTCCGGGTTGGGCCGCTCGATTTCCCGAACCGCAACTTCCGCCCGCCGCAAAACCGCACTGCCGTTTGAGGTTTTGATTCGATGTACTTTTGGCGGGACACACCCAACCAACACACAGACCGCCCGCGTAGCGCGAGGGCGACCGCAGCGTCTCGCGCGACCAAACCCAAAAGGACCCCCCCCCCCCCACATCGCTACTGTCGGGGTGCGAAACTCCGTCGTCGGAGTGAGATCTGCTTGTGTTGTTGCGTCACTGATCCATCAACCGGAGAACTTGCTGCAAATTCGGTTGAGTTTTTACAATTTTCCAACCATGTCGGACGGAGGAAGAGGAGAGGAGCTTGACCCGAACGTTGAAAGCCTGAGGCTCTGCGTCGAGCAAGGCAGGACGATCCACACCGAAGCCAACGGCTTCCGGCTGGGCGATGGCAAGCTTCTTCCCAAGGTGGGAGAGACAGCCGATGGTACATGTAGACTATGTTGGCTACAGCGGTAGCATCGACCCACGTGTGTGTCCGCCATTGGAGGATCGTGAGTGCCGCAGGACTTTCTCTCCCCTGACGATACGCCTATGGGACTCTGATCGTGCATGACACAGTGCACAGCGCTCCTGGTAGCCAAGGAAGGGGGAGCAGGCAAGCAACGCGCGCTTCGTGATTGATGCGATCGTTGTTTGCAGCACGAAATAATATGGAAGAGAGAGACACTTTTCAAAATTCGCCGCCGTTGGTGAGTACGATTCTACAACGTCTTCGTACGTTGTTCGTACATGGTACATAGATACCGGCAGCCTCGGATTCGTTCCTTGAAGCTGCCAACTACCTGTTTCTGCCGTCTTTTCACCGTGTCTACACCACACCACAATCGCCTCAGACATCGGCATCCAAGACTGAACATAAAGAGGGGAAGTCCAAAAACATTTGATAACACGCGCTCCGCCTTCTACTTCGTGGTAACCATTGGTCGCTCGCTCGCACATGTACTGAGACCCGAACGGTTCCAAATAACAACAACAACACCAACAACACGGTTGGATGGAAGCACCACCTCATGACACCGATAGACATATACCCACACCACTCGAGCATTGACATTGCTATGAAGAGGTTCCTTCATCATCCATATTTTTATTGAGATCATCGACTGTACTGCTGTAGGGTCAAAACTTCTCTCCTGTATGATTGTGCATGACAATGTTCATGTTTTGACAGAAACTGCTCATGGTTCTGCGCATACTGCTGTAGGAACACGTTGTCTGCTGCTAAAAATCTTCATGTAAGAACAGCAATTCACGAAGCAACTGCTGTCAAAAGACACTTGCTGTCATGTGCTCCCATGGAAGAATTTTAGTAGCACACGACGTAATGGAGGGTTGCTCCCAGCCAACTGTTGTCGCCGTTGACTATGTAAGTCTGCGAGCCTTGTAAGAGCCTTGCAAGGAGGTGTCCTCCTGTTTCGTTTTGCCTCTTGGGTGATGTTCGTCCGGCGGGCATCACCGCATTCTAGGTGCAAGGACTGCTGTAGACAGACCCAAAATATGTCCAGCAGGTGTTCCTCAACCATCGCCTTTAAGACTTTGGAATCAGGGTTGTTGTCTGGTGTGGGTAGTAAATCATTTCTCGACGCGATGCAACTTTTTCTGATACGGTCGACGGTCCCCAATAGCAGTAGGTTGTCGGGACAAGAGTTGTTGGTGCCGTTATTCAGGGCAGTTCCGCTATTCCTAGTAGCGATTGTATTGAGAGATGCCAAGCGATTTCGGTGCCGTTATTGAGGGCATTCCGCCATTCAGGGTACCGCTATAAAGGACCGCCGACTGCTGTACATGCAGTCGCTGTGGGTTTCGGTCCTCATTTGTACAGAACCTTCCTGGCAGGGACGGCCCCGCTCGGGAATATTCCCCCTCGCCTTTCCCCTGCGTCGTTGTGCTTGAAATAATCAACTCATCCTTGATTGGCCACACGGATGCAACAACTTCCTGCCTGCTCTAGTCGATTAACCATCTCGAGAAACCGTGTTGAGGTTGCACACAAACACGCCGTCTTTTCATTGGTCAGCCGGTCAGCGGTCGCTACTAATAGCAATAATATGCAGAACACACACACGCGCGCTTGCGAAGACTTGCGTGCCCGCAGTGATTCATGGGTTTGGGTTCGACGGCCGCAAGTTCTATTGAGGCTCGGTTGGCGATCCGACACCTTTGTTTTATCCTCCTCGCCATCCTCCCTCGTTTTGTCCCGATCTAAACCGCTACATCAAGCGTCCCCCCAAGACCCCATCACTCAACACCGTAGAAGCCAGTTTTTCTAGCTATACCTAAGGGTAGGAATGCTATAGCTAGCATGGAATGTTTGCCACGCCTCCTGCTGCGCTTCCAGCTGCAGTCGTACGACTCACGATGGCGCAACTAAATACATGAGAATCAAGTCTCGGGTCGATGTATTGGCAATGTACGTAGCAACGAATTGTAATCTCTTCACTCCTGAAAATTACAACTCAATAGCTCTACTGCCGTACCCCGCAACGCTGTTTAGCCTTTCAAAGGAGGGTTCGCATGTTTTCATCAGAACAATATCTCCCCACCCCGCACCCCTCACTCAAATCACGTGTTTGACATTTAATCAACCGGAAATTTCCCGGAACTTTCGCCCGCAGGACACAATCTGCGAGTGCCCCTGGCTGGTCAAGGACGCGGAGACGAGGCAGATGGTGCTCGAGTGCGCCAGGCTGGCCACGCTTGTGCTCCTGGTTCAGAGCCCGCCGGGGTGAGAGAAAAAAATTGCTCGCGCCGTCGTTGGTTTATTTTCTGGTTTCTGCTGGTGTGTCGGATTTTTGTAACCGTTTCGCCGTTTTGACCGCAGTCCTTGCAAGCACCTTCGTAAGAATTTGGTAGTATTGTGTTGCGGGTTTGTTATCTTTCCGCGGGATACTGTAAAAGGGCCGAGTGATAGCATCCCCCCTAGACTACGTTCCAAACCTCGACTGCTCCACAACCACAGAGGGTGCGAAAACGGACCGATGCGTGAAAGCAAAGCTCTAGAGGAGATATTTCCCCGACACCGCACCGTTTGGCCGCTGGCAGCCTCCTGTTTATGGAGAAAATCGAGCTGTATGACACTCAGCCCCCCCCCTGCGGGTGTGTGTGACCACTCGCACTTTTACGGCAGGTCCGTACAGCAGTGCACGTAGAGGTCTCTGCTTTTGCAGGCGTCAAAACTCGCCCACGTGTCTCACAGCTGCTGAGTGTATTACTTCTATATGCTTTTTGAGGGGGAGTAAATCAACCGAGTGCAGAAACATCACGTTCTCTACCCCCCCTCGAAGTCGGAGTTGGGCGGCAATCATGGTTGCTGCTTTCCGACATGAACCGAAGAGAGTGTGCTGGCAACACACGTGCACTATCCAACGACAGCAGCACCCCGGCGCAGGCGTCCATGCTCACGTTACAGGAGTCGGTAGCAATCGATCGCAAGATAAACCTTTAATGTGTTATGGCAAACGACTCCGTTGTTTTTCCTCTGGGCTAGACGTGTGTGTCGCACAAATCACCTCAAGAAGAGCGCGAGCGGCGTGTGGGGCTGCACATGAGCTTGAAACCTACTGCGCGACTGACCAGCGGCAGCTTGGCACATTGCAATTTTCGTGGGCTCGTCTGCTGTTGGCCGGCTGTGTGTGTTCTCTAGCTGCAGCTCCATGTGCGGGCGCGCGCCCAGAGTGTGTCCCGGAAACATGATAAAAGGATGAGAAGAAAAGTAGGAAATGTTATGGAGTCCTACGTTTTTGTTGTGGCTGAAGCTTTCTTCGTTGTGTGCCTTTGCTTGGATCAGCCTGTGACCTTCAAAGGCACGGCAAAGGAAACTCTGGATAGAAAAATCGGAACGTTTTCGACATGGAGACAACGGCAACGACAATACCTTTCTGCCCCCCCTCCCCCCCCCCCATCCCACCCGTCGCCGATGCCAGGCACACGTGGTCACAGTACATGCAAGCGTCGAAGAGGGCAAGGGTTCCGGCCCTCTCCCTGTGGTCGTTCAAAAGCGCTCAGGTACGTGTGTGTTGCGCTTGAACTGTCTGGGAATACATGCATGTTCAATGGGAGCCTGAGACGGTGAATCGGGGCCCATGAAACATGCAGACATGCTTGCGCATCAGAGTCGCAACTCCTCGCATGAACCACGCATCGTACTTGTGTTTTTGTCTATTTCTCGCTCACCCTCGCTGCTGTGTATACAAGTAGCAGCGTGAAGTTTGGTGCTAAGAGCTGCGTAACGGGCTTGAATCAACAGCGCTTTCAAGTTTCATAGCACGGCATTTGCCAGGTTCAGAGCGAAACCAGGGCGTATCAAATGTCTGCGGGTGTAGAACATAGCATGCTTGAAGTCTGCTGCTGGTTTCATAGCACGTAGCCATCTGCGTGGGGAGCACCAGCGGCGAAAAGGTATCGGGTTTCCCAGATGGTGTCACAGGGCAACAAATTATGCGGGTGCAAGCAAGGTACCAAGGAGTGTCACGGAACCTCTCTCTCATTATTTTTTTTTGTGGGAAATGCAATACGGTTGGGGTGGGCCGCTATGATAGAACACCAACTAAAATACCATTCCACATGCCCCCAGACCCAGCCACCGCGCCCCGGAAGAACGTCATGGAAAGTCATCAATTGCACGGCGGCATAAACATACACTACCAACACTGCTGCACCACACGCCGCCGCCGCCGCCACCTCCACCACCGCACACGATGTCTGTACTGTCAGAGATTCTTCTCGTTGGGCGCCAGCGCCTCCCCTTCCCCCGCCCGAGCCACCCTGAACCACGCCAGCCGGACGCCGAGATCGTCTTCGATCCGTCGTGCCGGCGGCGGCGTGTCGCCGTCCTCGATCTCCCCGAAGCCGTTCGCTCGCAAGTCCGGGTTTGGTTGGGGGGCGAGGCGCTTGTTCTCCGGGCAAGGCTCTGCTGCCGCCGGTGGCGAGGGCGTGGCCGGTGATGATGGTGAGAGCGACGCCGGGGTGAGTGATGGCGCTGTCGACGGTGACGTTGCTGACGCGCGCAGCACCGCCGGGCTCGAGACGAAGGAGGACTGCGAACCGCTGCCGCAACCACAAGAGCAAGAGCAAGAGGGGCTCGAGCAGCAGCAGCAGGAGGAGGAGGAGGAGGAGGACGAGCATGAGCGAGAGCTGGAGCTTGAGCTGGAGCACACGGTTGCGCAGCCGCTGGTGACGATAATGGAGTCGTCGCCGCCGCCATCGTCGCCATCTTCCGCATCGTCATTGGAAGACGAAACGATTCCAGGACCGGAGCAAAGCTCAGCAGCCGCTGTGGGCTCTCCCGGACCTTCCCCCTCCACCGCACCAGGATCAACAAGAGCGGGAGTTGGCCCAGGTCTGGCGGTTCACGAAGAGGAGAGCTCGGATCCCGGCACCACCGCCGCCGCCGCCGCCGCCGCCGCCGCAGATCCTGCCACGGTTACGCCGACTAACCCGCTCGCTAGTCCCCCGAGCACGCCGACCGCCAGCGGTAGCGCCCCCGACACTACCGGCGGTACCGCCTCCGTCGCCAGCCCCTTCGTCACTCTGAGGAGCGCTGCCGGTGCGACAACGAAGACTGGAGATCCCGCTGCCGCCGCGGGTAACCGTGAGACGGCCGCGGCCGTAGAGGTCGCCCCGACGGGGCCCCTGAACGAAGAACCGGCGGCGGCGGCGGCGGTTGCAGATTCTCTGGCGGCGGAGTGGCCAGACGAAGCAGGAGCGGCGGAGGGATCCCTCTGCGACCCAGGAGGGATGGCAAGGGAGTCTGTTCGCGGTGTAGAAGCCGCAGGGTCTCCGAGCGAGCTATTCGCGGAACTCGACTCTCCGACCGGAGCACGGGCAATGGCTCCGCCGCCGTCGCCGTCCTCGCCGACCCCGCCCCCGCCGCCGCCGTCGACCACCCCCCGCTGCTCCCCGTCTTCCCCCCCCGGCGCCGGCGCGAAGGGCACCAGCACGGCGGAGGTGTTAACCCGCCTTGAGGGCCAAGAAGCGTGGGAGAGGTCTGCGAACTCGAAGATGTCATCGCTGGGGGTGGAGATGGTGGAGTTCATGGTTTTGCCGGGAGATGGAAGGCGGGTGCCGGTCGTGGTTTCCCCCCGCGGCGGCGGCGGCGGCGGCGGCGGCGGCGGCGGGAGGCGGACCCCGCCGCCTCCCGCCGGCGGCCGCTATTTGGTGTCACCTCTTGAGGCGGTCGAGCCCGGAGGCGCCTTGCGCAGCATGCGAGAGTCGTCGGCGTCGTCGTCTTCGGCGTCGTCGTCGGTGGGGGCGGGGGACAGGGTGAGTCTCCGGAGAGAGGAGCTGGCGGTGGCCAAGCAGGGGGCGACGCGGTTGGGTTCCCTGGTGAAGACGAAGTCGGGCCAAGTGGGCACGGTGAGAGCCATGTAGCCATCTCTTCTCAGAATCGCTGTTTTTGTTTTTCTTGTTTTGGCCTGGTGATGTCTCTGCTTTGATGACTACCCGATGGATGTGTGGGGGGTGGGGACCGCTGACCTGTTGGTGGTTTGTCGTGGTCGTGGTTTCACAAGCAGTATACACCACCACCGTTTGAACGGTGCCTTTCAGCCCGTAGATGCCCGATGATGAGCGTTGGCTGTACGTGATGACCCCCAAGAAGTTGTAGAGGCATGTTAATGCTGCAGAGGGTCCGTCCTGCTAGAGCCCCTCCCCCCGAGGATGGGGCCTTAGGCATTGCGTCCGATGTGAAGAGGAGGTACCAAGCTGGTCTGAGTCCCTTGGAAGCGGGGTGGGTGTCGGTAACCCTAGCGCAGACGAATGCTCTGCACGGGGAACGAGAAAATTGATTGTTTCCCATTGGCAGGCCCGGCCGAACATCTGACCCTTGCCGGGGAATGTGGTTTACAAACGCCGAGAGGGGTGTGGCGAAGGGGACCAGTCCTTGGGTTTCAGATTCTCGCCATCGTGCTTGCGCCAAGAAACGTTATTTTTAAGGCGTTTTTTCCCGAGGAGATCATTGCGTTTTGTGCGCGTCTTGCGCCCCTCGCTTTGCTCCTACTTTTCCTCTCACTCTTGTCGTCGTGGTCGTTTTTGTCTCTTTTTGGTTCTTGGATTTGGTCAGGTCCGATTCTGCGGCCTTACGGAGTTCGCCACGGGACTGTGGCTCGGCCTGGAGCTGGACTTCCCCGAGGGGAAGAACGACGGGTCCAACCAGCTCAAGAGGTGCGGCGTAACTAGAAATTGTCGCCGGCGTTGCTGACTGCGTGGTGGCGTTGTGTTTTGGAGGGAAGAAGGCCTGGCACGCTGGCATCTGCTGTGGCGCAAGTCAGTGTTCGCCGTCTTGCTGTATTTTTCGTCGCGGTTCTTTGAGCGCAGAGGGGCGGGCTTCGTACGTGCTGCCCGCCTGCGGCGGAATAATTCTGTTTGCAGAGAGTGCTTTGAGGTGGTGAAGTCGCCCGCGCATCGGCCAGCGGGCCGGGACGTCGCTTTCTAAGTACCACCTTCGATCTTATTTCTCCGCTCCTCCTGCCTGTATGTATTGTATTATTGTGTTTTTTTTTCTTTGCATGTCACGATGGCATTTGCATGTATTTTGAAGCCAAGATAAGGCTCGCACCCGGCGTTGCAGAAAGACGTTGCCTGCAGGTCAGGTTTTTGTGTTCGGTGTTGTTTTGCATTTGCACTACACGAAAACTAAATGCTACGCCAAGGTGTGGATGGTGATGACAGGTGTAGAGATGACGTATCTACTCCTGGTGCGCATTCAACCGTGCTTCAAGCAACGAACGATCTGAGGGGTGTATCTTGCTGGTGGTTTGATTTGACACCAAGAGACCCCGCTCTGGATACGGTTCTTTCAAATCCACCGGCTGAGACGGGGGGTGGGAAGTCTTCCGAGTCATACCCGCCTCTCTCTCTCTCTCTCTCTCTCTCTCTCTCCCTCTCCCTCTCCCTCTCTCGCTCTCGCTCTCTCTCTCTCTCTCGCTCGCTCTCCCTCTCCCTCTCTCCCTCTCCCTCTCTCGCTCTCTCTCTCTCGCTCTCTCTTCCGAGACCTTTCTCCTTGCCAAAATCTCACGAAAGAGCACTCCCAGCCCCCAGTAGTGTCCGAATACTGCCACGAAGTGGTTCTCCTCCTAACCAAGTTAGCTAGCCTAGACTCCGTCCTCATTGTGTAGTGCATTATTACCTGTCCATGTACTTGATACATCCGGCAATCACTCTCTGGGTAGGGTCCAGTGGTAACCCCCGTGTTTCTCCGTGAGGCAACTCTCTTGATCCGCGGACGGACACATTCTCTGTCCAACCCAACCCTGGCGGTGAGCAGAGGAGCTGGCAACCGCGTTCACCAAAGATATTCCCTAACCCGACCACGCCCGTAGCAAACTGCGCTCTCCATCGTCCCCGCTGTTAAGGCCGCTCACTCGATCCCCCCCGTGTATTGTAAGACCCCCTCCCCACCCCGTCTGACCCTGACAGGTATTTCACCTGCCCCGAGCAGCACGGTCTGTTCGTTCGTCCCACGAACGTCACCCTTGTCTCGGCTGCTCCTCCTTCTACTTCTTCCCCCGCCGCCCCCGCCGCCGCCCCGGCGGCGGCCACGGCTTCTTTCGCGGACACCCCCGCCGGTACCTTCGAGGACGGCAGCTGCGGCAGCAGCAGCAGCAGCAGCGGCGGCGGTGGCAGCGTTGGGTTTGCGCTAGGAGAGGATGACGACCGCGGCTCCGAGGGTGGCGGCTGCGGTCTGGAGGTGAAGACCACGACTCCGACGCCGGCGACGGGGCCCCGTACCCCCCCCCGGCGCGCGGACGGGCGATCCCCCCTGACCGAGGTGACCGAGGACAGGCGGCACTCCGTCAACAGCAACCCACCGCTATCGCGGAGCGGTTCCCCTACCGCCGCTGCTGCCGCCGCCCACCGGAAGGAGCGAGAGAGAACGCCTGGCCTGTCTTCGGAGGGTGACAAGGTGTGTGTGCGTGTCCTGTGCTGTGGGTGAAACACGCCGAGGCGATTGATGGTTTCTGGCCTTGTTGGTTGGTCGTTGATGGTAATGATTTGTTGTTATCGCCATCGTTATCGTTGCTCATTTGGTTGTTGCTATATATGTAATTGTTGTTGATGATATAGCCATGCTTAGTGCTTGCTCGGTCTACCTCCAAGGCAAAAACCAAGACACCACCGTCTCAACTCCCCCACTTTTAACAGCCCTTGTCCCCGTCTTCTTTCGGGCGGTCCCTCTCAAACATTGCGTGCAGGCGGTTACCGCCGCATGGCTCCTGCCGTTGCCGTTGACGCCCTCCTCCAACGCCGAGAACGGGGCGGGATCGTCGTCCCCCCGCTCTTCTCCGCCGCCGGGATCGTTCCCGGGTCTTGGCCGGCCGGCAAGCACGATACCCTCGATGGCGTCGTTCTCGGACGCGCTCGCCGATGCCGAGACCGAGAACACTGCCGCTGCCATCGTTGCCGCCGCCTCTGTCGCCGCCGTTGACACCGCCGTCGCTACCGCGGCTACGGCTACGGACACGGAGGCGGCTGAAGGCTCCGGGGTCGAGGGCGGCGGCGGCACGATCGCAGTTTCTCCCGTGGTGGACAGTGCTGCAGACGCCGCTGGAGCCGAGGAGCCTCGCGCCGCCTCGGTGTTGCCTTCGAGCTTTTCCGGTCAATCCGAAGAACGGTCCGGGGAGGGGGTCGGCGTGGCCGTGCCCGCTGGTGTCCCTACCCCCGCCTATCCTGCATTCACCGACCCGCTCTCCGCCACCACGACCTACGCGCCCGCAAAGAGTGCCGCCGGAAATGATGCGGCGCCAACGACCATCACGCCCGTGAAGGTCGTCCAGAAGAAGGCGAAGCTGGTCGGCGACAAGGGCAGCGCGCCGGTGCTGGGAGCGGCGGACGTCGCCTCGATGAAGAAGGGAGCGGTCGCGGAGAAGATCGCGCTCATGGAGGCGACGTTCTCGTCGACCTCCGCTGCCGCTGCTGCATCGACCCCGCGCGCCGGCCCGGTCACCGGGAAGGGCAACGACCCGGGCTGGGCGAGGCTTAACGCCACCGGCAGCTGGTCGAGTAACGGCAGCTGGCGATCAGCCGGGGGGTCTACCCCCGCCGATACGGACCCGAGTCCCAAGGACGCCGGTGACGCCGGTGCCCCCGCCGCCCCCGCCGCCGCCGTGGTCGGCGTTTTTTCCTTCTCGAAGGTGAACGACTCGGCGGCGACAGCAATCCCCCCGGCCGAGACAGAGGGCAGCTCAAACGCGGCGGTATCAGTTGCCGGGGCGAGTTGCGGCGCGCCGAGCAGCCTTGTTTCGAGAACGGACGACCAGACCGTGCCGTCGGCGTCTGCCGCCGATACCGGCGACGGTGCTTCCGCCGCCGCCGCCGCCGCCGCCCCCGGGGGGTGTGTGCCTGGCGATGGTAGCACGGCGACCACCGTTGCTGTGGAGAGCAACCCGGGAGGTTATACTCCACGGCCCCATACCGCTCCCTACGGTGACACGGGCGGGCCTGGCAGCAGCGGCGACGCTTTCGGAACGACGGCTTCGGAGTCGGGGGTGGCAGACGTCGCCGATGTCGAGCTGGGTGCGGCGGCCGAGCCGGACAACCGGGAAGGCGTCTCCGCTGTGCAGGCTATCAACGCTGATTCGGGGGCTGGTGGACTGGCCCGCGATGATGCGCCGGAGGCGCAAGCGTTGGGCGCGGAGGCAGGAAGAGAACTCGGTTGCCAGGGCGGTGTGTTGGTGCCGCCAGAGACCGACGAAGGGGAAGGCGTTGGGCCTGGACACGACGAAGTATCAGAGCCTGGTGCGGAAGAAGTGGAAGTTGGTGAAAGCGAGAGTGGGTCCACTGCGGGCGTGGGAGACGCTGGCGGGGATGGTCTAGACGTGTCGGACGGCCTGTTGCCGCCGTCAGAGACCGGCAACGGCTCCCTCGAGCATGGCCATGAACAAGCAGGGGCTGATGGGGAAGGTGTGAGCGAAAGCGAGAGCGAAAGCGAAGGCGAGAGCGAGGGCGAGAGCGAGGGCGAAAGCGAGAGCGAAAGCGAGAGCGAAAGCGAGAGCGAAAGCGAAGGCGAGAGCGAGGGCGAAAACGAGAGCGAAGGCGAGAGCGAAGGCGAGAGCGAAGGCGAGAGCGAAGGCGAGAGCGAAGGCGAGAGCGAAGCCAGTGCAGCCGATGCGGGCGCGGAAGACGTTGGCGATGATCCGGACGCTTCGGTCGGTTCGATGACGCCGTTGGCGACCGACGACAACACCCTCGAGCATGGGCACAAAAAATCCGAGGCTGATGGGGAGGAATTGAGCGAGAAAGACTCGAGTGTAGCCGATGCGGGCGTGGGAGACGTTGGCGATGATCCCGGCGCTTCGGCAGGTGTGTTGACGCCGTCAGCGACCGACGAGAACACCTCCCGGCATGACCATGAAGAATCAGAGGCTGATGGGGCGGCGGTGAGAGTGGGCGAAAGCGAGGGCGTTGCTGCGGACCCGGGGCACGTTGGCGATGATCTGGACGCACCTGACGTCATGATGATGCCGTTTGCGACTGACGACGACAGCTTCCAGCACGGGCATGGAGACTCAGAGGCTGAGGGGGAGGCAGTGGAAGAGGGCGGTACGGGCATGGGACACGTTGATGATGACCTTGACGTGTCGGAGACTCTAGCAGCGACATACGAATCCGAAGACGATATTTCCCGCTCAGGGGGTGCCAGGGAGAACGTACGTGGAGAATCAGAGGCCGAGGGGGCAGAAGAAAGCGTGAGAGAACCGAGTCCCATGGAGGGTGGTGGCCACGGCGTTGGCGGGATCGTGGGTAGTGACGGAAGCAGAGCGCCGGGCCGCGGTAAGCGCCTCGCAGCGTGCTGCCTCGGCGTAACCGTGCCGATTGCCGTGATCGTGATGATGCTGGCGGCGGGGGCGGCGCTGATCGCCGGACCGCCCGCCACCCCGACAATCATCCCCGCTACCCTCGACCGCGCGTTCGGGGCGGCGATGGACGCAGCCTCCCGCGTCATGCCAACAGGCGGCGGGGGCGGCGAGATGACCGAGCGTCTTCGCGGCGCCCTACGGGATGCGTACTTGAGTGTCGTGGACCCAAGCGCCCCAGGTCCGACCGACTCGGGGAGCGGGGCGGCAGCGGGGCAGGAGGAGGAAAAGAATAATGCCCCCGTAAGCACGGAGGAAAGCTTACCGCCCCGTAGGCGAGGAAAGGTGGGACCGCCGGTATTGTCCGAGAAGCAGGGGAGGGTTAGGCCGGCCCAGTCGGAGCCGACCCCTAGGGCGGGGCAAGAGGCCCGTAGCGAGGACGGAGGCGTTGCTGCCGCGGGCGAGAGGCCCGAGCGGCGCCACCTTCCCCTGGACGAGAAGGAAGGGCGCGCAGGTCGGCGTCGCCAAGAGATTACGGCCGGCGGCGGCGGAAGCGGCGGGGAGCTCCACGATCGGGAGCTGCGGCTGCCGCTGGACGACGGAGGAGCGGAGGCGGGGGCAAGGGTGGCCACGACGACGGTGCCGCCGAAGGCGGCCGTCAGCTCTGTGTCGATACCTTTACCCGACGGCGTCGGCCTCGAAGAGACGGCCACGGCGGCGGCGGCGGCGGCGACGGACGGGAAGGCGCCGCCCGACGACCTGACAGAAGTCGAAGCGACCGCCGTGACTACTCCGACACTCGTCGCTGTCTACCGGGCAGCCTTGGCTGATAGACCGTTCGACGCACGGGTTTTAGCTGTTGCCGAGGGTACCGGAGCAGCGACATCGGCGGTGGCACGAGGGCCGGTGCCGGAGGCTGCAGTGCCCCCCGAGGACGGCGGCAGCGGCGGCGGCGCTACATCGACGGAGGAGGCGTTATCGGGTGCCGCCAGGGACGAAGGCGACCACGAGTTGCCCGGAACGACGGCGGAGGGTTCCAGGACCGCTGCTGCTATTGCTGTGCTGATGTCGTCCCCGACTGTTGGCGTTGCCGGTGAGGCCGGCCCGCCGAAACGGAGGGCGGCGAAAACGCCGGCGGATGGCGCGGAATCGGCGCCGAAGCCGACGACCACCGGTTCGGTGACCAACGGGACGCCTGACGGCATCGGCACGGGCGAGGGCGCCGACGATGACAAGAGCGAGAGCGACGAGGCAGCAGAGGGGATCGCAGCCGTGACGGGGGCGGCGGCGACGGAAAGCCTGACGGCCGGCGACAACAGCGCCACGGACAATCTCGACGACGATAAGAAGAGCGCCGAGGGAAAAGAGCGGATCTCAGCGGCAGAGGCTGCGGGTGTTCTTCTTCAGGAGGAAACGGGCTCGGTGGGGGTTGAGGAGGGACGGACGGATGCAGCGAACAGCAATCTCGGCGATGGCGACGACGGCGACACGGGCGAGAAGAGCACCGAGGGAGAAGAGCGGATCGCAGTGGAAGAGGCTCCTGGTGTTGTTCATCAGGAGGAAGCAGGCTCGGTGGAGGTGGGGGATGAGGACGACGGCGACACGGGCAAGGAGAGCACCGAGGGAGAAGAGCGGATCCTAGGGGCAGAGGATGCGGGTGCTGTTCTTCGGGAGGAAATGAGTTCGGTGGAGGTGGGGGATGAGGACGACGGCGACACGGGCAAGGAGAGCACCGGGGGAGAAGAGCGGATCGAAGTGGAAGAGGCTGCGGGTGTTGTTCTTCAGGAGGAAGCAGGCTCGGTGGAGGTGGGGGATGAGGACGACGGCGACACGGGCAAGGAGAGCACCGAGGGAGAAGAGCGGATCCCAGGGGCAGAGGCCGCGGGTGCTGTTCTTCCGGAGGAAACGGGTTCGGTGGAGGCTGGGGAGGGACGGACGGATGCAACGACGGCGGGGGTTGTGGAGGGAGGAGGGAATCAGGACGGGGTCGACGACGAGGACGAGGAGAGGGAAGACGTGGCCGAGATGGGACCGGGAGCGGGGGAAGAGAACGACTCCGAGGTGAGCGTTACGTTAGCGGGGAGAACATCTGGACGTGAGGTATGAACACACAGAATAGCTGCGGTCTCTTTTCAACGAACGACGCCTTGTGCCGCTAGTCTCGTGTGTGGGTACCCCGCTGCGCCGCGCTGTACCGTTGTTGCTGTTTGTTCCTCACGAAAACCAGAGCCTAAACGTGTGAACGGTTAATGGCGAGCCAACCTCATTGGGCCTACTCGGGTGTTGCCACACAGTTCGCCTACTAGTAGACTGGTGTTTCACTGCCTGTACTTCATGCTGTTGGATTTTTACCTCTACCTCGGCTCATTGGTCGGAGGCAGAGCCCAGTGTTGATGCGGCTGGACGAGAGGTCGATATGACGTTCCTCCTTACGTTACGGGGGTGCGCATATTACTTACTGCCCTGCTTTCCGGGATCGCCTTCGCGAGGATGTTATTTATCTATGAAATAGAGAGGGGGGTTCCGTATCCCTAACCCTACCCCCCCTACCCCACCCCGAAACCCCTTATAAAACCAAGATTAATATAATCGCGAAGGCTACTGGCTCCAGAGCTACCTACAGCAGTGCTCTTCATCTTTGTTTTGGACCCCCAAATTGAAGAGTCGGATATTTTTTACGTGTGTTGTTTTCCTTCTCTCGTTGACACTGGGACAGCCGTCGCTCCCGGGGTTCATGCGGCCCGATGGGGGCATGGTCACCGTGGAGTTCTTGACCGGGTGCAGGGCGGCGAAGATCGCCCCCGGCCTGTCGGAGGGGTGCGAGTCAACCCCGATGCTGCTGGGGCACACCGGAAAGGTATTGTGATGCGGCCGATGTTGTTGACGAGTGATAGCTCACTACACCTGTGTGCTTTGGTGCACCACAAGAACATCGAGCACAGGAACCAAAAGTAGATCGTTTTGATGAGTCGTCGAGAACAAGAACGCCGCCGCGCTGTCGCCGTATAGCCATCGCGCACCAACCATCCCTTCGGCGTAATTGGTCAAGCCGAAGCGATTGGGGGCTATTTTGCGGCTTCCCGCCCCACCTCTGGTTGCGTTTCCGACGCCACCCATCCACCATTTGGCTTTTCCCCAACATGTCGAGTAGAAATATGTACCTGACTCCTCGTCACTCTTTTTCCCTTGACGACCGCCATTCTGTCTCTTTTCCCTGTCTTTGCTTTCGAACGTACGTCTACGTTTCTTCCCCCGACAGAACTTGATGGAGCTTATCAGGCCGGGGAAGAAGGGCAAGGTGGCCTGGAGATCCCGCAAGTCTCTCATCAAGATAGCCAAGCAGGTACGCTCCTCTCCCCCCCTCCCCTTTCTTCTCTCTCTCATGCTCGTCGTCGTCGCTCCGCATTATCCGAACGGGCAAGGTAATGTAGGTTGGCGTTTTTTCCCTTCTTCCTCCTTTGACTGGATTTCCGTCGGCGGCGGAATACGAACCCTCGGCAAAATACAAGCTAGGCTCCCGAACCGAAACCTGGACCGAAATCAGAACCGGAACCGGATCAGACGGTGTCCGTGTGCGTTCCTTTCGCGTGTCATTGCTGCATACAGATCAATAATGACCGAGACTTTTCTCGACTTTCACGTGGTTGTGCCCCTCGTTGTATCGTGATTGTTTTCTTGTTCAGCATTTACGGGATGTTATGGTCACAAGTGGGGTGAGCGACCCACCGCATACCCCCACACATACGTTAGACCAACAACGACCGTAATGGCCGTATGACTGTTTCGAACTTTTTCCGGGTGTGCTCATGTTGGCGTATGCGCATATTTCGAGGTCCCGTTCTCGCACGTCCTTTGCCCGTCCTCGACTCTTGGCCACGGGTTGCATTTGTCTGGTAGGCATAGTTTGTCACAGCGCCGTCTTGGACTGTAAACGACCGAACAGGGACGGACGCGCGCGCGTTTCACCCTCCGATGGGGGTGTTCCTGTCCCTGCACTGCTGCAGCAGTCAGTTGACTTCCTGTCGGCCGGGTTGCGTGTTAGACCGTTCTCGTCGTTGCCTTTCGTGCCCCCAGCACGAGAGCGTCGTGCGCGTTTTTTGGTTTTCTTGTTACACTTGCTTCATCATATCTTTGATTTTGACCGTATTCTTGTATTTTTTCCTTGGATTTCCCGTATTTTCTTGCACACCGACTGCCGGCGTTTTCCGCTGCTGAACCACACCCGCCCCCCCTCTCCATGCCGGGCCCCTCAATCCCTTGTTTTTGTTTGTTTGTCCGTGGTGTTCCAATCGTAGTCCGTGGCGTCCAAGGTGTCCTCCCTGTTCCGCCGCAGAAGCGAATCTCCGGAGGGGGGGGGACCCTCGGGACCCGTCCCCCCCCAGGCCATCGCCGGCCTTTACCTAAGGGAAACCTCCGACGGCAGGCTGGCCTTGATGAAGAAGGATCCCTCCGGCGGGAGCGGCGGCGTTGGCGACGGTGATATGGATGGCGAAGACCTCGGTGGGGCGGCGGGACACGACGTGGAGGAGTTCGGGGTTTTGCTGGGAGGCGTTTCGGGGGCGGGAGCGGGGGCGGGAGAGGTCGGTGGTGGAGTGGGAGATGGCGGGGTCGACGGAGAGGAGAAGTATGCAGCGATGCTCACCCCGGGCGGGGGCCTGTGCGTCTTCGGCACCCGCGGCGGGGTGCGGTGCATGTCCCGGGGTGTCCACCGCTGGGCGACTCACGCCACGGGAGGCGAAGTTGCGTAAGGGGTATGAAAGACGGGCGGCAGCAAGTATTTGCTTGGCAACCGCCACGCGCGGAACGAGGGAAGAGTGGCCCCGTGGTTTGAGCGGTATCAATAGCGAGGGGGGGCGGAGGGGGTCGTGGCATCCAAATCCGGTAGACAGGGGGCGTGCTTGGCGGCGGAACTGAAGCCGTGGCCGATTTGGTGGAGTGAAGGAAGCCCGGGGCGTCTGTCCCGCTCATCCGGGTATATATCTGTTTTTTTTTAGTCCACATAGGGGCGGGTGTTTCTTGTTGTGTTGGAGACTCTAGAGGGCACTTGTCTTCTTGGGGGGTGCAATTGTTAATGTTTGTTGCTTGTTTGTTCGAGTTTGGAAATCGGGGGAGTATTGCTGGTGTGTGAGGGTCTCCAATCCGGAAACGTGCGTGCTGTGTGTAGAGCTCAAATGACGATGAAGGAGGGGAAAACGGTGGCACTAGAAGGCGGAGCTCGGCACAGCTGAGGACGATTTTTGTGGTCCCAAAGGGAAGGAGAGAGCGTTGTAGATGCTGGGTGTACCTTGTGATTAGCTCGCTCGTGAGGGATGCCGGGCGGTATAATTTTAGTTTGTCGCTCCTTGTTTTTTTTGTCGTGTAAATGTCGCAACTCGGAAGTGTACGGTACGGATTGCTTTTGCGCGAAGGGAGTGGGGCAATATTTGTGGAGACGACAGGGTGAGATTGGGTCCGTTGGCGGCAAAAGGGACGTAGTGGGCCGCATGTGGTGGGTGTTCGTATTGTACGTAGACGTTTTGGACCCGTACTTTAGTTTATTGTTTGGCATTCATGCCGCGCACAGTACAATGTATGTACGTTCATATACTTTAACGGTCTCGGGTAGAGAGAGGAATCATGGGTAGGAGTTACTTTGCTATCGCTGCCGAACAAACATATGCGCGTGTATGCAGAAGGTTTTATTTCACGCTTGGAGGTGTCATATCTGCGTCCATACTATGCGTACTGATAGAAATATCTGAACCATCCTTCTTTTTTTTTGCTACAGCAGTAGTCGTGTCGACCGTCACTTGAAAATGCTTTTCAGCGCATCCCCTCGAAAGAGGCATTTTCTCAAACGGGTAGTCTTGATACGAAGTAGATTACACGAAAAAAAAAGCGGAAAAGATGGTCCCAGGTTTGTTTCTAGTCGGCGTAGGAAAGGTGTGGCGAACCGTGAAGAGTGCCGCGAGGGTCGGGTAAGAGTTCAGTGAGGAAAAGAGTGGGGTAGCCGGCGCGTGGGTGTTGTTGTGTGTGGCGACGTAGGGCGCTGCTGCTTCTCCCCCTATTATTGTAGTGTACATCGTTTTCCCTGTCGGAGTTTTTTTTTTTTGCTGGCGCGGCTATTGGATAGCTGTCCAGAGAGGGAGGGCGATGAAAATCTGTAACGTATGGTATATGTAGCATGAATCGAAGTACTTTTGCTTCATCGCCTGTGATGTGAAGGTACATTTTCTTGTTGCTGTCTGAAATGCACGTGGACAATCTTTCATCAGCACGGATGGGTTTGAGATGAGGCCGTCTTCGCGTTGTAGCAAAGCCGCACACCCCAGGACTTGTACAAGTAGCGGTTTGTCGGTAGAAGGGGTCTCGCGAAGCGTCATCATACTTCTGTAGTCCCTGGCTTTTTCGCTGACCATAGATTCAACGTGTGGTGTTTTTTTGCCTGAAACGGACGAAACTACAATACACGGTAGAAGTACTGCATATATATGCATACAGGAATATCGGCCACTACATGCACCAGTCGCAAGAACCCCGGACCTGGGAAAGATCTGCGAGACGTTTCATGTTTCGGGCCGGGGATGGCACCCGGATAACATGCCGTAGGAGGAACTCAAAGATGCCGTGGTGAGCGCTCTCCCAGCTGCCTCCCAGTCGAAGGATCGAACCGTGGGTTCAGTCATCTACTTGTACAGGCATCTAGACTACATTGCACAGTAGTAGTATTTTTTCGTCAATGGAAGGTTCATGGACGTCCACATGAAACCGTTAAACAGAGGAGATGCATGGAGGAAGCGTGCTTGTGCACCCTCGGTGGCCGCATCTTCACGAAGCAGATTCCTTGTCTTGCGTCAAATCGCCCAGCATCGACCCCAAACAAGAAACATTGTGAAGTAGACAATGAGGCAGAGCAGGGGCGAAAGGCAGCAACAGCAGGGAGACATGATAATAGCGACATGACGTCCATGCCAAATTCTCGACATTGTTGTTGTTGTTGTCTTCACATTTAAAACCGTTCCGATCTCTCTCTACCCAGTACCTTTGTATGTCCGTACTGATCCAACACTCGACGCGGTCGATTCCCGTGGTCACAGGTTAACTTACCCTCAAAAGGTAAACTCAAATAAACTGGCCCGACATACCCCGACATGGAGGGGGGCGCCTGGAAAAAAAAAAAGAAAAAGGAAGAAAGTCTAGGCCTTTCTCTCGCGAAACACCTGTATATCTCGACGACCACGACGTCGATTAACAAGTGGGTTGCTGCAGATGATGCAGAATGAGCAGGAGATGACGAAGTTGTGTCTGCGCTCTGAATGACCGTCCCCTTTTGTCCACTCTCGGATGCTGTTTTGCAGCGCACGAGCAAAATCATCGTCGTGTGCCTCTCTGTACGTACACTGCTGTACGTTTGCAACACAAGCAAGCACGCCATCGTCTCAACAGGAGGCCACCGGCAGCCAAGTGCAGCTAGCAGCAGCACAGCGGTGATTCGAGCAACCAACATGTCGCGAGAGATGGTGCCGCCTTGAGATCCTCGCCTATGATGGTGAGTGCAGTGAAAGATCCCGCTCCCGGAGGGGAGCAGTATGCACGCCATCCCCGTCTGTACCAGAACGCCATGCAGTTTTTAGAAACCCTCGACAAACTGCCACACAGCTGCGCAGCACCCAGCATCACAGCAACAACCCGACGAACGTACACCAGACCAACAGACGCGGGAAGGGAGGACACGCTTCATCGGGAAGACCGTTTGCACCCCGAGACCTGAAGAAGAAGAGACGTGGCACAATCGCCTCATCACAGCGGATGAACTTTGTCTCTGTCTCTTGCGCTCGCTCTCTCGTTGAGGTCCACACTGCCAGCAATACCAGACATGATGGTTCCGTCTCCCAAGCCCAGCAGGTGTGTGTGGTGGTGGAGCATGACAGGGGAGGGCATCATGTAAAGCTGCTGCTCTAAGTAGCGCGGTCGACATCAGTTTCGGTTGTTGGCTATGCGGTCTGCGCGCCATTTTCCGCGGCCAACACTTTCAAATTCAAATCTCAGGTCTCCTCGTCTCATCTCCTCTTCCCTCTCCCACAAACAAATTGAAACCAGCCAGGTCATAGAGGCGCAAGGGTTGGTGTATATACAAACGTAAGGGTAGTGCTGATGTTGCTATTCCATCCCTGTTTCAGTTCGATGCGCTTCTCGATTGTTTGCTTGCGCTTGGATGCTGCATGTATTGATCAGATTGTACTGACGTGGTCTGCAGCAGGCTAGAGTACACTCGCTGTACTGACGGGTCTCTATTGTTTGCTTGCGATTGGATGCTGCATGTATTGATCAGATGGTCAAAGTCTTACGGCGGCGTTCTAGGTTCATGTTCGCGACTCCTGTACACACCAACACATGACGATCATGTTTGTGCACATCTTTCGTGCGCGTCACCATTCCTTGCTGATATGATATGATACACACCACAGCGGCTGTAGCGTAACATCACGAAGTTGCACCTTGAGAAATGCACGGTTTGTCAGACGTTGGGGAGTAAAACAGAAAGATAGGCACGGTGTTGGAAAAATATATATTTGTGCGCCCTTCTATCGCACTGTGAAAATGTCATCTATATACCGTTTTGTACCAATGCTATACTGCTCAATAAATTCAAATGGATACAACGGTGTAGTCCCAGCTTGTTTAGCAATTAAATACTCTCCTCCACCATTTCCTTCAAAAAATCAAATTCATGTATAAACGCAAAAATATTCGCTAGTTCGGGGGCTAGTGCCGTTCCCATAAAGATACCAGAGGCTTGTTGGTACATGCCGTTCCCAAATTGTACAAATCCTTCATCCAAAATAAAATCTATCCATTTACAGACCCGTTCCCATCCAATGTGATTCGGTCGACCTCTACTAGACGTTACGTTGCTCGGGTCTTACTTCGACCAACCGATGTCCCTAACAAATGGGGTCTTATTATCAGGCCCAATACCCCATCTCAGCTGCATAGATTTGAACCCATGTCTCTCAGTTTGGTGTTCAAACGGCAATTTTAAAGCTTCCCTCAATTTTGCCTTCAATGGTACTGCAGGGATATTAGGGTACATTCCAACCAAGTCAAATGTTTGGAAGACATGCGCATCAGTTCATCCCTCCATTTGTGCTCGAATATCGACATCCTGTGCTACCTCTAGAATACTTTCCCCGCTAGAGGTAATCCAACAGTCGGTGGCAGCAATACCAACTTTTGCGCATTCCTCACGCCAGATCGTATGTAAACAAGGCCGGATACCAACCAGAACTGCATTAACTACCTTAGCCACCTGTTATCGTACCGCAACAAGCTGTAATTCCACGTGTCGCTACCAACGGCTTACAGATGGCGCCCGCACTTAAGAACATCTTAATTTGCGTGAGGCTGGGGTTCTTAGTTGCCTGTTGAGGCTGCGAATGGCCATTATATAGGTTTTAGTGTGAGGTTCTTAACGGGGACCACTAAAATACGCTCATGTTCATGAGTTTTGGATTTTTTGAGCCTCATGTTCTTAACAGGTAGGTTCTTAAGTGCGGGCGCCATCTGTATGTAGTTTAGCAGTGAAGTGTCGTGTTGGTAACTTCTCAGTGTTTTCATACTGGGTGTCACCGTCCTCATCTTTGTACTGCCGTTGTGGGATGGGTAGCTTTTCATCTACCAAAACTTATGTTGTCGGTCAATGGTCGTCTGTTTCACCAACTCCAACTCTCCGTGTACTGCCCTATACCCCGGCCCTTCAAGTTCTGCT